ACTTGGGACTATAGGAGTCCACCACCACCCCCAGCTAATTTTTAATTGAGATGAAGTCTCACTATGTTGCCCAGGCTGGTCTCGAACTCTTAGCCTCAAGTAATTCTCTTTCCTTAGCTTCCCGAGTTGTGGGGATTACAGGTGTGAGTCACCATCCTTGTCCTCTTATTGGTAGGACTCTATGTGACATTGTGAAGGTCATCTGTGGTCTGCTTGTCCAATATCCCTCCTATATTCCTTTGCCACTATCCTTCCATTTTTTTTGGGTGGGGAGGATCACTACCCCATTTCTAGTCCATGTGATTTGGGAAGGCCTGACCCTCCGTAGGCAATCAGATCAGCATGGTGGTTGACTCAGAAATGGGCATGTGACCCAAGGTAGGCCCATGACAGTCATCCCTGCACTTTTGCTGAAACTGCTGGGAATGAGGTGCTTTCTTTTCATTGGAATAGCTACTTGCAAGGCAGTAAGTAACGTGAAATTTCTGGGGCCATCTTTGCTGCTCTCTCAAAAGAGCCTGCTTGAAAAATGGAGCCAACGCAGAAGAAATGAAGGGACAGAATAAGTTTTGGTTGATATTAGCTGACCCCTGATCCCACTGAGCCAGAAGCCATCTACTCATGGACATTTTTAGTTATGAAAGCCAAATAATTTGCTGCCTTGCTGGATTGAGCTAGTTTTCAGTCACTTGCAGTGAAGAGAGTCCTGCCTCATTTCACTTCCTTTTAGGCTTAGGTCCCGCCTCTCAGAGCTTTAGAGTGGTAAAAAGGATAAAGTGAACCCAGGCAGTGCTGAGCTCACCAGTCTCCTGGCTAAGTGTGCAAAGAACTCTGGAATTACTACTACCCTGGTCTGATCAGTAGCCTTGCCTGCTGCTTACCATACAGCCATAGGGGTATTGCTTCCTTGAGCCCTGAGGCACTGTACTTTTTAAAAATGATTTTTATTTAGGTCAGGTGTGGTGGCTCACGCCTGTAATCCCAGCACTTTGGGAGGCTAAGGCGGGCAGATCACTTGAGGTCAGGAGTTTGAGACTAGCCTGGCCAATATGGCAAAACCCCGTCTCTACTAAAAATATATGATTAGCTGGGCGTGGTGCCTCACACCTGTAATCTCAGCTACTTGGGAGACTGAGGCATGAGAATCACTTGAGCCTGGGAGGTGGAGGCTGCAGTGAGCTGAGATTGCACCACTGGGCTCCAGCCTGGGTGACAGAGCGAGACTCCATCTGAAGAAAAATAAAAGATTTTTATTTAAAAAATGTTTTGTAGAGATGGTGTCTTGCTATGTTGCCTAGGCTGGGTCTCAAACTCCTAGCCTAAAGCTCCGGGATTATAGATGTGAGCCACTGTGCTTAGCCAGCACTATACTTCTATTAGTTGCCAATGCTTGCTTTGTTCTGTACTGTCTAGCACATGCTTGAGTGTGAGTGTATGAGTGTGTGTGATCACATGTGTGAGCGTGTGTGTGTTCCTTTTACTCCCACCTTGCAGGGTTAGTCTCTTATACACATCTAGTGTGTGTGTTCCTTTTACTCCCACCTTGCAGGGTTATTGCAAGCATCAGGTGGGATAATGTAGGTACAGCACTCAGCCCAGTGCCTGGCACAAATATTGAGTGCTCTCTGCCTTCCCCTTTTCTCCTCCTGATTCAGAGAATGACTTAAGGATCTGTGATGTGGACCAATTTTCAATGCCCTGGATAAATAATGGGGAGATGAAGTTCTGTTGCCAGAAATTTGCACTAGTTTTAATTAATTTTATCTGTTTAGAGTAAGATATCTCAAAGTCACTGAATAAATTTATGTCACATATGTTTATGCACATCAGTATTTTTCTTGAGAACTGACAGCCTTAGTCCTTGTTTTGTTCCCTGATGCTGCAGCAGAGGCCAAATGTGTCCTGATTTCTTGAGTGATGGCTGCCAGCTCTCCGAGTGTCACAGTAGGTGAGTCCTCCATGGGGGCAAGCGCCAAGGATGAGTGTGGCCAGGCAGCATCTGTAAGCCCATTTTGTCTATTCTTTATTTTTGTAATAC